TGTATGATATGTGTATTATTTGTGTATGATTTTCTACATTTTGAGTACCCAATATGTGTAAGATATGTGTAGGATAAATCATTTTTTTACCAGTGACCTTCTTTAATTTTAAGCTGATTAATATCATTTTCACTAATATTTGTAAAACATTTCAAGTTTAATTAACAACTTCTTCAACATTTTCATCACTAAAATATCTAGAAAGGTCTTCTTTACTTTCTTTATTTTCTCCAATTTCTTTCAGTTATTATTTTTAATATTCAAATTATTATTATCTTCTTTTTGTATAATTATAATATTTCTAAACTTCTTTGATCGCTGTTCAACTTCATTAACTCCACTTCTTTTTGTTTAAGTATAATTTAAAGAAAAGTTATAATATTGATAGCTAAAAATGTAAAAAAAACTGAAATATTAAACCATTTTATTAAAGAATACTAGTTGTAGCCCGCTGCTTCGCATCGGGTGATTCGATTCGGGTGGTACAAAAATCAATAAATTGAAACAATAAACGTAACTAAAAAAAAATTCGTATACATAGTATACACATGACAATGATAATCTTCATACATACACATGACAAAGATAATCAAAGAATGAAAAAAAAAATTCGTTTTAACTTGTACAAATTCATACATGGGCTCACTTTTTACACAATAAATAATTTATTTCTTTGCAAATTATCGTAAAAGAGAAGAGTAAAAAGTTTATATTACAATATTATGCAAACACATACAAAATTCTAAGCAAAAACTTCCTTATAAACCACATTTCTTGTCCTTCTTTTCTGAGATTTCACACAACCGTTGTCTATAAGAACTTTAATGTTCTGATATGAAGTAATTCTCGACAAAGCAACATACAGTTGGCCATGAGAAAAAACCGGTTGCGGCAAATAAAGACCAACACGGCTTAAGGTTTGACCCTGAGCTTTGTTAATAGTTAGAGAAAAAGCCACACGAATGGGAAACTGACGTCGGTTCAGAATAAAAGGCAAGTTGCTGTCAGAAGGGCTTAGTGTCATTTGAGGGATAAAAACACGGCTGCCAACATGAGAGCCAGAGATAATTTCGGCCTCAATTACTTTGTTCTGAAGAGCTCGACATATCATCCTAGTTCCATTACACAGACCTTGAGAAGGGGCAAGGTTTCGTAATAGAATAATTGGTGCACCCACCTTCAACTTCAATTCACCAGGAGGAATATCAGGAATTTTTAAGGATCTTAAAAACTCAGGTGAATATACTTGAGGTTGGGATGTATTGCCATCTTCAGATAAATCTACAGAGTCAGCACTGGGATAGATAGTAAAATCACCAGGTAATCGATCTAACACCAGTTCTGAAATTTTTTCAACATCAACATTTTTAGGTGTCAAGATGGCTTTTCCGACCATATAATCCACATTTTCATAATTCTCAATCAAGTGTGGATAAACAAAATCGATAAGCGCTGGTAAACCTCCTTTAGTCATCACCAAGTCCAAAGGGAGATTTATACTATCTTCTGTACCAGGAACAATGGAATTATTATCATCTCCAATATCCAAAAGAAATTTGGCAAATTTCTTTTGCTTTATGGTCTCCTGTGGATCAAGATCTTGACTAAGTCTCATATTAATAGATAATTTCATAACTTTCAAGTGTTTCCATAAAAAAGAGTGAGTCAAGCATGATGAGACAACATCAGCTCGAAGGGAACGTGGTATGACTGGTAAAACCTGCCTAAAATCACCACCAAATACGAAAACTTTTCCACCAAAAGGCTTATCAACGCAAGTGATATCACGTAAAGTCCTATCCACAGCTTCAAACGCGAACTTATGTAGCATTGGAGCTTCATCCCAGATGAAAAGCTTAGCTGCATTAATTAAACGGGCTTCTCTACTTCCACGGGAAATGTTGCAGGTTGAAAGTTCATCTAATTTTAGAGGAATTCTAAAGCGTGAATGGGCGGTTCTCCCACCATCAATCAAAAGTGCCGAAATCCCTGAAGAAGCTACAGCCAATGCGATTTCTCCACGGGATCTAACAGTTGCCAGCAACGTATTATACAAAAAAGTCTTACCGGTACCACCAGGACCATCAACAAAGAAGCAGTTACACGTATCATTAATAGAAGACAAAACAGCATCATAAATAGCTCGCTGGTCTTTATTCAGCAAAGGAACATTCTGATTTAATGCACTTTGCAATAGTGTAACATCATATGACATTTCTTCTCGAATCAGTTGATTTAACGCATCAGGACCATCAAGAAATGCAGATCCTCCCAAAAAAAGAGGCATATCAGGAAAATCTTTTATAGATTTCGCATTCAACTGCAAGTAAGATTCCAATTGTCTCAACGCTTCCTGTTCAACTGCATCATTTACATCACTATAAAGATCACGATTTTGATATAAAATGTCTTCACAAAGAGCAACTTTATGATTATTCCACAGAATTTCAGGTGCAGCGGGCTGACAAAAGATAAGAATGGTCGCAAAAAGGAGACGTAATTGTTGACCCATTCTTATACAACATGCTTCTCTCAAACAGACATCCCATTCGGTATCATCTTGAAGAAGGCCCAAACGAATACAGGCTTCCTTAAAACTTCCACATACATGACCTTCAACTGTCTTCAAGTCATCAAAACTGGAAGCACCTCTTACATGAGTAAGCAACATTCGCAAATAATAACGTTTACCTTCTGAAGGTTGCACCATGTACAGTCTCCCAATCGTACTCGTAGCAGTTTTTCGTATATTCCACTTATGATTGGTTGAATTCCAAGTATAATAAAGTGGAAAATCAACATATCTGTAATTATGAGCAGCAGGATTCTTAGCATTTTCTTGAAACCAAGCAACTAAGGTAGTTACATGAGAGTCAGCATGATCTAAAACTTGCTGCAATTTATCATTATCACGGAAAGTAATAAGCTGTTTCTCAGGAAGATGAATCGCCAACCTTTGAACACTTGGAGAACGGCCATGCATCCTGTAATGAAAAATTCTCCAAATCGCCTCCGAAGACGAAATGTATCTCGCGTCAAGATACATCTTTATCTCATCAATGGGTTCTTTAACAGGTGATCGCAGTTCGCTAGCACTGTCAGGTTGTGAAAGCGCAACAGTAGCTCGATCGTGACCTTTGTATACGTATTTATATAGGTATTTAATAGCCAAAACTGAATTACAGATTTTAACGTTGATATGGGCGTCATATTTTTCTACCAATTCAACATTGTGAGGAACCACCCATCGGTTATCTAAACGGACGCCACGCCTAACTTCAACAAAAGAACCATTGTCACGCCTACGGTAAAGAGGATATCCGTCATAATTGTTCTGTGTGGAGGATTGAAAAGATTTCGGATAATGCTTCTGGCAGAAACCATCCTTCATACACGGAGCTGAAGGATTAAGCACACCACACGGACCATGCATCATAGACGATATAACGGTCTCGTAAGCAAGAGGATGAACATTAGGATCAGGGATTTCTGCAGAAACAATTGCATCATAATCTTCCGCAGAATGAAGCTTTGAATCTTGCGAAAGAATTAGGAGAATATGAGCATGCGGTAAGCCGCGTTTCTGAAATTCGATTACGTAAACAAACGCGGCAACTTTACCGAGGCAGTGTTTTTCACATAAATCCTTTAACAATTCTCGTAGTTTCATATGAAAAACACGTACCGTCAAGTCAGGTCTATCCACGGCAGTTTGATGTGGCAACAATTCTCTTGTAACCTCTTGCCACTTGGGATTACATGTGAAGGTGACAAAAAGGTCAGGCTTTCCAAAGTGACTCACGATGGCCATAGCATCTTGATAGAGTTGGTACATCTGACGCGGACCACCAATAAACGTTGAAGGAAGAATTATCCGACGTCCAATATTCTGTCCAATGTCTCCAGCATCTCTATCATCAGCATCTCTGTCATCAGCATGTATGGCATCAGCAATTCCTTTATACAAATCCAAGCGAAGGGATGATTGATTAAATCTGAGATAATTCAAACGATGCTGTTCTATCTTTGAATACTGGTCTACAACATACTGCTGATACAAACGGCCAGCACGTTGCAAGCAATTACCGGGTCTAATCTGTAACCTATAAGAATAGAATTGCATAGGAGTCACCTTATCTCTTTGAGTATTTATTCGAGTGTTATCTGCAAGCTGTATATCAAGATGCCATCCATCATCACCGTTTGGGAACAGCAGCACGTATTGAAGAGGATCATAGGAAGGATGCAATTCGGATATTCTTTGTAAAGTCCCATCACGGAGGTTAAGAACAATATCTCGATTAGAAGGTTCAACTTCATAACCATCACCAACTATGATCGCAGCAACATTAGAAGCAGCTGGAGCTTTATAGCGGCGGGCATCATTAGAACGATCACAAAAAATTCGCATCGAAATTTCAGCTGAATCAGCATCATTTTGAAGCAAATCTCTTACTTGACGAAAATTCTGGATATAAGGGTTAGAAGTATCCAACATATTCTGCAAATTCTGCAACATTTCGGCATTCAGATCACGCATAACTTGAAGGCGATTGCTATTTTCATGATCGGTGTCATAGATATAGAGCTGATCAAATACCGGTTTCTGTCCTTCATCCGGCATCAAAGATCCTACGCGATGATAAATTTGCCCATGGATTTTAAAATTCGAGACACCTTGACCTTGAAAGCTTTCGTCAATATTAGCACCAAAAGAGGTGCATGCCAAAATTCCGTTATAAGTTCTGATGTTTTTACGAAAACTTATTGCTTCGGAACAGGAGGAAGTATATAAATCAAGTAGATAAGGAGGAGGATCAAGCACAGGAGCTAAACGGACCTTGCCACCCGCACAACACATAGCAAACCTAGGAGAAGATAGGCTGCTGTTCCGATCCTTCTCACATAACCAAAATCTCTCGCCACAGTGTAAACACGTTTGATCGATGATTCCCAGATCAAGACGCCCTCCATCAAATCTCCTTTGTCGGTGACGTTCAACTCTCTCTTTTTGCAGTCTTCTTTTACGTGATACAGGAGTCTCGCTTGTAGAAGGCATATTGGAGCAGTTAAAGAAAGATTAGCGTCAAGGACAAAAGATAAGATGACATCGTGCAAATTGGGCAGCAACGCGCATAAATTAGCATATGAACACGCGAAGAAAAAGGAAATCAGGGTATCAGCACAACGGCATGGGGGAAGAATACAACAAAACGAAGGATTAGATAATTAAAGCAATATTTTTTTTCGGATTACATTGGAAAAAGTATTTTTTTTCAAACAACTTTATTATAATCAAATTAAAATTTATTTAAAAAATCATCTTTTTTAAACAACTCTATTATAATAAGATTTGAAAAACATTAAAATAATCATTAACTACAAAACCGGTAAATCAACAATTTATACAATGTTATACACTTATAAATAAGAAATAATTAATTTATCAATGTTATTACTTAAAATATGTTTAAGGAACAGATAACGTTAACTACTCTTCTAGAAATAAAAAAAAATAAAATAAAATAAAAAATTACTTTTAAAATGTTTATTTTTTACAAAAGGAACGTTTATTTTTTACAAAAGCAATGCGAATTAATACAAAATGAATATACATACAAACAAAACTCAACTAATCAGGTTTATTAAAAAAAAGACGCGAAAGTAGTTAAAAAACGTGACCAAAAGCGCGATGACGAAACAAAGAAAATGGCGTCAACAAAGGGGGTAACACAACTGTATAATTATTTATACAGGTAATCTAAACGTTACAAATTTTTTTAATTATATAGAAGTAGATAGAATAAATTATTGAATACAAAGACTTTAACTTGTTTGCTTATTTAATAAAAACTAAAGAAATAAAATAAAGAAACTAGAGAATTAAGTTTTTTTTAGATATAATAAATTTTTTAATCAGTTAATGGCTTAATCAACCACAGTAAAATTTATTGGTAACATAATGATAGATTAGTAATACAAAGAATTCATTAATTATAATTTGATTTTACCAATTTTTAATTTATAAAAAAGTTATTTTAATGATTGCATCCTACTGAGTGGATATAGCTTATGATAATTTGTTTGTATGGTATATAAACTACATATTAATAAAGCATAAAAAAAAAAAAAAAAAAAAAAAAAAAAAAAATAATTTATAAAAAAGTAACTATATATAGTTTAGGAATAAAAAATCAAAATCTTAAACAATCGATTATCATCAATTTCCAAATATTACAAATTATCATTACCTTTAAAAGGAATTATTAAATATTAATAGAACTAATTTTACAGTAAATGATTGGAGAAATATAATGAAAGTATTTATATTTACTATTAATGGGCTTATTAAAAATAAACAAATAAATAATCTTATTATAAAATATTTTTAAAAATGGAATAAATTCTATTTATTATTACAATCTTCAGGATTTACTGAAAATTGCTTAAATAATTTATTTCAAAAAATATATGAATGGGCAAACTTTTTTTTTTATTTAAATTACAAATCAGTTACACTTATTATTGCATTACATAATTCTATCAGCAAGTTTTAAAAGTGTTGATTTACACCAGTATATATGTTAATCAACACTAGCTAGTTGTTCAATGTGATTTACAATATTAATCAACATCTATATACTGGAGTATACCAATGCATAATGTTAATATACGTGTTGTTTAACTCTAATGTGTAGTTCAACACATTATGTGTTGTTGTTCAATGCCGTATATTAATATATATTATATATATATATTATTATATATTTTAATTAAATTAAATTATATTTATTTTTATTCACCTTAGAAACTGAACCAAACACAATCTAAATACTGTTTGAATATATATATATATATATATTAAATTAATATTTAAAAAAAAATTATTTTGGCAAATACTGGCAGTATTTTATATCACATATATCACATTAAGGTTGCTTGTCTAAACCTCTTCAAAATTCTACGATTAGTTTCGTCAAAATTTTACTATAGATTTATTATAGTTTTGGCAGAGTTTTGGCAGAGTTTTGGCAGTTTCGGCATTTATAATAAGTTTCGGCAGTTTCGCCTTTCTCCAAAGTTTCACCAGTTTTTTAATATAACTTTAATATAGTTTTGGCAGAATTTCACTTTTTGGCGAAACGCCATCTTGCCTAAACCCCTAGGTTTCGGCAAGCAACCTTATATCACATTATACTGGATTAATGATTACTGCTGTAATTGCGGTATGACAAAAAAAAATTAAGCTTTTTTTGGCAAAGCTTAATTTTTTTTTTGTGTTTTTCCCTTTCCCCCTTTCACTATTCCCTTTCACTTTGTCCCATTTTTCTCTTTTATTTTTCCCTTTCACTTTCGTCCTGTTTCCCTTTCATTTCGTCCCATTTTCTTTTTCTATTTTCTCTTTTCTCTTTTATTTCATTTTTCCCTTTCTCTCTCATTTCATTCTCTCTTCACTTTTCGTTCTATTCTTCCTATTTTCTTTTCCTTTTCCTTTTTATTCCTCTGTTCTGCCCTTCCCAAACATTTTATCCATTATTTCTGTAAAAATTCCTGTAAAATGAGCCTTTCATGGCTTACATGGCAGCTTGATTTAATAATAGTAGTAAATGAAATTTTGAAGGTATAGTAATCAAAATCCATTATTAAACTCATAAATTTACGGTGGCCTAAAATATTTAACAATTAGTCCTTCTATTAAAAAGTATGGTGCACCAACTAGTTTTCTACTAAAACCTATGAATCATTACACAAGAAATTTGTAAAACAACTATATAGATCTTCTAATAATAGAAATCTTAATATTTAAATGATAAAGTTGGTAAGTTTAATACTATTTTATTCTAATATTATTTATTTTTACTTAATAATTAATTTTTTAAAATTTAATATGTTACTAATAGATAAGAAGAAGTATTTGAAAAAAATCAAAGATATTACTAAAAATACACAATATAATTATAATACACTTATTACAAACCTTTATATTCATTTACAATGTCTAATAAACCAAATTTTAATTGTAAAGAATATATTTTAGCAATGCAATAGCTGGATTTGTATTTAAATAACTTTAAAAATATGTATAATGTTAATAATATTTTTGATCAACTTTCTTATTCAAATATAAGGATATATATTTATAATTCAGCAAATCTTTCTAGTGAAGTAAAAATATATGCAGCATCAGAATTTCACCAAAAACCATGGTTTTCAGATATTGAAATAACTATGGATGTAGATTATCAAGGAAATTATGAAGAAACATATTGGGATAAAGTTTTATGTTTAGTAAAACTTTTAAGTCTTAAATTTACCTTAATACAATGGTATGATTATTTTGAAAATATACCTGAAAACTCAAAATTTGGATGTCCATACTTAAAATTAGAAAACCATTATGATTTAATTCCTATTAGTTTTATATCAAATGTAGTTCATATTATACCAGATTTTAATGTTGATAATGATTATTTTATTAATAAATATATTTTAAGTAAATATTATAATAATATGTATTTGTTAGCAAATATATTAAAAAGTTATTATGATTTTATTAAGAATTAATCAATAAAATTATTTTTAATACATTATTATCATATTTATTAAATTAATATTTTTCTAATACATAAAAAATCACAATATGATTACTAATTATATTTAAATATATTTGATAATTAAATATAAACTTAACACTAATTTGGAATTAATAAACTAGTTCAATAATATTTTATAAATTATATACAATTACAAGTCAATTATAATTTTATATTAATATAATGATATATTTTATTAATTCTAATATAATAAGTGTACAGTTCAATTTTGATAATTAATTATAATTTACATATTATCTAAAAAATTGCAAAATCATCATTTATCAAACTATTTTATATTACCATAATAAAAATATAATAAAATTTTTATTGCAAATTGACACGTGTAATAAAAAATTGCATATTCATTGCATGGTAATTTTTGTAATGAAAAATTATATTAGTTTCGCAATACTATAATAATTGACGTGTAACAAAACTTTTATGAGGTGAATGGGATGCTCAAAGTACTTTTGACTTGCTGAGTTGCTGTACCCTCGATCCCTCCCATCCGTATAGGTGGTGAAGATAGTGCAAACGTTCCCATTAAGTTGGATAAAGGTGAAATTCCACTTGATTGAGATGTCTTTCTGGGATCAGGTATTGGCGGATTGGAAATGATACCAAGGGCATCAGCTTGATCGGAGTGCCGAGAAAAAGTTTTTTTTCGATACAGAGTCTGTGAAAAATATGTCCGCACGTGAGATATGAGAATGCTTTGAGAGGAGACATTAAAATGTCATTGCCACATGATGGGAAATCGATATCTCCAACAGTTTCATCATCGAGACTTTTGAGGATATTATATCCAAGGTTTTTAATATTAACAAGAGAGGGTCTCTCAGATTCCGAAATACTGCTCTTTTCTCTACCGTCATAATCGACTATGCTGTATTGGAAAGGTAACTATTATCTGCCTTCCCACATGAGCAAAGTAATGTTCCATCTTTATGGATTTTTTCGCACAAGTCCGATGGATCATATCACCACAAACATTTAAAACGAGCGATTTAGGCGGGTCTTCTGTCAAAATGGGGATATCACATTCCATACATGGCCCATAATCTGGGATAGCTTCATTAGATTTAATCGACGAAATATCTAACTCTTCACGAAGAATATCCTCTGGGAGGTGTTTCATGGCTAAAGCTAAAGACGGGTTTTTATATCACTTGTAAATTTCGTAGGAGAAAACATTCCCCGGATTTTCACCAGTAATTACGCACTGCATTTCGTCATTCCATTAATCCCCCTGCAAATCGATAAAAATGACGAAGGATTAGCGTATGCATCCCCAAATCCCATATGCGAAATAAAAAATACCTATATTCGAATACTGTTTTACATATACTAATGCTTAAGGACCACATTCCACGTCCGGTTTTATTTGTCCCAATCATCAATATTCTGGAAAGAATAAAAATGGTCATCAGACGTTAATTCTAATTATTCTAATTATACAATAATAACAACTGACATTAAACTTCACAGGAAATTATACTGTCAGTGATGCTAACAAACCCTCGGAAAATCTGTACGAAAAATGATGTTAGTTTGCAAGTCGAAATGAAATATTCCACCTTAATTGCGTCCAGAACTTTCGTCTCCAATATTTTTCGCCAGTGCCTTTTCATACTGCAGTACGCAGTATACATGCGCTTATTTTCTAATTTATTTTGGTTTTGAAATCTTTCGTTAGAAAAAACATTGCATTTATTGTACAAATATCTGGTTTAGTTACAGTACAAATTGTTACACGAAAAAAAAATCAATAACTTCTAAATTTGAGCCATTGAAAAAAAATATCACTAAAAATTACAGCAACTTTGGTGAAAAATATAGAGATCGTTGCTGGTAAAATTTCGATAAATAACGGTAAAAGTATTGATAATAATACCCCTACGACTATTAAAATACAAATAATAATATTATTATACCAAACGATGTTATTCCATCGCAATTTATTAAATAACATTATAATCTCTGTGATAAAAATCATCGAGTTTAACGCTAATGAAAAATATTTTAGGGTTTCTTCATTGTTTTTAAATTTAGTCGAGCCAAGAACAGCAAGTACAATAAGGGCGCTCACGTAGAGACCACAATAAATTAGTTTTTGACTAATGTCCTAGAAACCGACGAAAAGGGTATGTTAAGAAACGACAAAAGAGCCGAAAGAGCTAAAATAGTTTTAGTAAAATATTCTAACAAAATATGTGTCACATAGCTAAACATACCGATCTTTCGCGCCAAGTTCTATCTCTGTCCACGAGAGCTCGAACATAACCAATTCTTGCATTGTCATCCGGCAATGCGTTAAATGTTATTCTTTCTCGTGCGATCATATTATTATATACTTCTGTTTCGACAGGATTGAGACCAAGTCGGGCGGGGGTGCCATCCATTTTAGTTGTTGAAGAGTTGAATAGAATCGATAAGTGAATAAAATTGATAAGAGTTTAGAGATGAATAGAATTGATGAGTTTAGAGTTTAGAGATGATGTATAAATACAATCAGAAAGTCAAATGATGTGAAACGAATACTACGCAGGATCATAATTAATTTTATCGTCTGCCCTGAATTATACGTGTACTGCGTAAATTATCAATTAATCAATTGTTTTAACAAATATAAACTTATTGTTCTCTAATTGTTTGTCTATTCAAGGAGTAAATTTATTTTATTACCCGCTTATTTTAATTGTGAGCCGGGGTCGGCTAAACTGATAAAATAAAAACAACTAAAAAAAATAAAATAAACTAAAATAAAATAAAAACTTTTCTGCCGACGATCAAGAATCTTACTCTATTATTTCGGTTACCAATATCAACCACCCTAGCGTCGCCTAGAAAAAATGGTAGCCGGATAGGTTTTCCGGGTTACACGTGATTCGGAAACTGATTTCTGGGTTAGCTTGTTAATTTTTATTATAACGTAGTAAAAAAAACTTCGATAAATAACTGAATAAATTAATATAGTAAATATTTAAGTATTTTAAGAAAATTGCTGAAAATTTATTTATTGCTATGATATTATTTATTTTATTTATTCCCAATACATTGTAATTTTGTTAAAGTTTTTCCATTTTTTTGGCATTGTTCAACAGTTTTCTAGTGCTTTAATATCTATTTAATTTGTTGTTTGTTATTTTGTTTGATCAGAAATTTCTCTCCTCTTCCTCAAGTGTTTATAATAAGAAACTTTTTCTATAGTAACACGTATTTCAAATTATTTCATGATTACATTGTTTCATATTATTACCAATATTACCAATGAAAGGCGAAGTAAAGGAGGCGTAGACAAGGGTATTTTTGCCATAAAATTATCGTTTTATTAACGATTTTGCCACGTTTTTTAATTATTCACCTTTTTCAACAATCTGAAATTTTGCAAACATTTTTTAACCATAGATGTCGTTTTGGTTTGTTATATGATTCTTTTAACAATTCTTTAGCCTAAAAAAATTATTTTGACATTAGTAAAGATTAAAAATGCATCTGTATATAAAATTTATACATAGTATTAACATGTCTTGGTCGTGGATGTAACATTTTATGAGAATATTTTTAAACTTTGATTAAGTCCAGTTTTGATAAGATTTCTATATTTATTGTTCCTTCACAATGGTACCGTTATAAATAGGTAGATGTGTCTCTTTGTTTATCTAATATAGGATGCTTTACTTGCCGTTTTCCAAGTTCAATTCGACAATTGCAATAATATAATATATGAAGAGAGTCTTTTTTTGATTTTTATTCCGATAAACCCATGAATAGCCATCACCTTCTGAAGTAAGTATTATTACAGAAAGATATTGATGAAAAGGTAAAAAGGTAAAAATTGATTTATAATCAATTAATGTAACCGGAAATCAGTTTCTGAATCACGTGTAGCCAGCAAACCTATCCGGCTACCATTTTTTCTAGGTGACGTTAGGTAAGTTTACCAATATCATTGATATCACATGACCAGACTACACCACAATCGCGAACTTTAATTTATTACTTGAACTGTTGCAAGTAAGATAATATTCTGTTCCATTTTTATACTATTCGCTATGTAATCCATAATTTCCATGTTTTCCATTGCAAATAGGGCATGGTGAGCTCCACGGCTGAAGTGATGCAAAATTAAATCTCCTAAAACTATTTTGGAATTTCAGGTATGTGAAATGCTTTAAGACAGACTTGATAATTAATTCTGGATCGGGTTTAGCTTCAAAAGTGATAGGCTTGAAATGAGGTTTTTCTGATATACTTGTTATAAATTGGAATGAATCTTATCTGTCAAAATGCTTGGTAAGCCACTTAATTTGGCATACTAATCCAGATATTTGGGGTTAGTACTTTATCAGACTCAGTCATTTTCCTTTTTATATGACTGCAAACAATTTAAATCCTTTTTTTCTTATCAATTCAAAAAAAATATTAAAAATTTTCAGATAGAAAGCTGTCTAATATTTCTTATCATACTTTCAAAAAATAGTTAGAACATCTTCCGTGCTCATAGAGCAGGGAGAACTATGCAGTTATCTCAATTTCATGCTGTTTACACTTAATAAAGTAAGATCCAGCTTTATACTTATCTTCTATTTCTTCATTATTATGCTCTAATTTGCATAATAGGCAGATGGTCTCTCTTGAGATCCCACATAATGTTTCATCAGTAATCCCATAATAACTGAAATTTTTACTACTACATTCTTTATATAGATTAGAATATTGATCCAATATTTTTTTGTGAAAATAGGATTGGTCATAAGTTGGATTAGTTCTACTTGCTTGAGGTGTGGCTGATAAAATCATTTCTGGTGGAGCATTTATCTTGATTTCTTTTTCATTAGGTGAAGATCGGCCTAGTGCCATTATATTTTCTTTTTACTTTATTGAAAAATTTCATATATCAGAAATAATACCAAAATTTACAGAAAATCTTATTTTATATCAAATTTTAATTAAATAGATTTTTATCTAAATCAAATCATTACTGGCTAACTTTTATAAGTAATAATCTTTTAATTTTTAATAAGCAAATATTATAATTAGCTGAATTCTTTATAAGTAAAAAACCTGTATTATGAGAGCAAATATTGTATTATTTTTTTCATAGATTATATATGATGTAAAGAATATTTATACAAAGTTTTAAACTTCTGCTATGCATATTTATCATTTGCCATCAATTTTATTTTAATGCGGTTATTCAATTTATTTATAAATTTATCTTATTTTAATTTTTATATTAAAGCATTATTGGCCAAGTTTATAAGTAGTATAATATTAAGCATTAAATGATTGGCAGATATATTACTAAATTAATTAATGATTGTTAGGTAATAATAAGCATATTCGTCCTGTTCTTGTGAGACAATTTAAAATTGTCATTATTTTATTCATGACAGTATTGATAGGTAGTATTCCTCTGAGATAAAAGGTAAACATGGATTTTACATGAAACTGTGTTCTTTTTCTAAAAGTGGCCTTGTAGCAAGCACTTGATACAGGGTTAGTCTGGAATAGTTTTAGATAGTCTTTACTTTAAATTCATCATATATCACTTTTTATTTATAATTAGTATATAGAATTTAATAAAGTTTAATAAATAATGTGTGCTTCAATTGAAGTCTCTTTGGCGTAAAAAAAAAAATTCTATCATCATGAAAAAATTCTCTTGTGAAACTTAATACTTTGTATTATTAGTATTAATAGAATGATATAGATAAGCGAAATTTTTATTGATATTCTGGCATAATACTTTTATTATCATATATCTTTTAATAGTGATAGAAACAAACAATTAATTAGTTTTAGAAATTATTTGAGTAACATGATGCAGAACTCCATTAATGGTTTAGGATTCACACCCTTCCTCTTTCATTAAATATTTCACTTGCTAATAATCTACACTTTTTGATTTGCTAAAAAGTAAAACATTATATTATTTGCTATGTTACATATATATGGATTTGCTCATCAAAAAAATAAAATATATGTATCAATTATGTTATTAACTAATGATTATTTTTTATTCAGATTTGCTAACATATGTGATTATACATTTTAAAATACGTTATTAGAAGGTTTTAGTCTTTATATTTGATATCATTGATTTGTGCATATATTTGACTATAAAATTGTGGTCGTGTATAAGTGACAGAGTGTAAATTTTTTTCAAATTTTCTCTTTCAACAATAATTATATTTTTATTATTTAATACTTCATTACTGAGCTTTCCTAAGTCTTGAGAACCAGATAAATATCATTTTCGGTCATTCTGAGTTTTCTCACAGAAGATTTATCTAAAATGATCCACTTTCCCATAATCCCATGCATCCAATATTTCCTTACTTTCTAATGTTGTTTGATGGTCTCGATAAGTAAATCTGCATTCAATGTTAATTGCAATATAACCAGATTCATATACTTTTCTTTCAGATATAACCATGTCAAACTCTATATTATTTGATTTTTTGGGAACGAATAAATAATCAATAGGATTCTCAAAATTTTTTCTGGATGAATTGTATATTGTACCATTCAGAGGAAATTCTACTTCCTTATGACAGTATACAACTCCTCTCTTTCTTTGTAGCTGTATCTCAATTTTTCTTGGCCTTTGTCAGATCTCACAAAGATTTGTCTTCTTTCTTTTTTCACGAAACACATGGTATAGTAATTTTCAGTTTGCATGGAATCTTTCAAAGGGTTTTCCATCCATCACTTCATCATCAAAAGATGATTCCATAGTAAGTAGCTTTTGTAGTATAATAGTGGCAGTTTGTGCATCACCATCATCTTTATTGTTTAAACAAAAATACTGTAGGCTAATTGGTAATAAGGTGGGAATGACAAACTGAGCTTCACTTTTTTCAGTAAGCAAATTAATGTAAGTTCTGGAAGAAATGAGGGCTGAAATGCTTAATTGTTCACCATTAGTATTTATAATATCACTCAATCTTACTGATTTTTCTAGTAAAGCCATTTTAACTACAGGAAAAGATATATGCTTATACCATTCTCCAATATGATTTGTCAAGATTGCGATAAGAGAACTGTAATTGTGAATTTTCTTGGCTTCTTCGTTGCTATTAAAAACTTGATAAAAATTTTCTAGGGTCCTCGGATGTCCATTGCAATCGGCAAGGCATTTTTTAATGATAAACAACCTATGCTCTAAGTTTAAACTTCTTATAACTTCACTAAATAATTCTGCTGATTCTGAAACCTCCAGTCTTCTTAATGGTATCCATTCGATTGCTCTACCTGAATCAGTCGTATTACCTTGCACATAATCTACATCAAGCGTGGTCAGGATACAATTAAATTTGAACAACTCTTCTTTATTTTTCGCAAACCCATTGTAGGGATTATATGATTTAAGAATTTATTAACTTTAGCTTTTTTTGATTGTATCAGTGCCTGACAAAATTTTCATAGTCTCATCAATGCATAGAAGTACTCGTTTCTTCAAGATGCTTTGAACAGCAGTATAAATGTCCAATGACTCAAATTTTGTTTAAAATTTCTTGCAAAAATTCTTCCAGCTTAGTTTTCTATCATCGAAAAAATAACTCCACAAAATACGCATTACTAATCCCCTTTCAACATCATCTACGAATTCATCAAAATCATAGTACGCTGAATGTTCATTGTATGTTATGCAAACTGCAACCGTATTACGAAGCATATTTACGACATTAGTAACTGCCTCATCGTAACGAAGGTCCTCTTTGTCTTTTACAATACAAGTGCATTGACTATCTTTGCTTCTCAAATAATTATCGAAATCTTCATTTTTCAAGGCGGCCAATTCATCAAGCAGGAAAGATTTCCTCCTCCTGGTGTGGCTTGAATTACGAGAACACAGTGACAAGTTTTACAACTAAAACATTTTCCATTATCCAAGGCTTTCTTAATTCTAAAATAACGCTCAACAATATGATCATATATTCCACGTAGCGTTTCATCTCTACCTTTTCTTTGAAAGTTAAATTCATTTTTACATAGTTGATGTGGCTTTGTGAAATCACCTTGTCCTTCTAGAAACTCTGCTATGGATTCGGGAGTGATAGGCACTTTTGGATTTATGAATACAAAGAAATGTTAGTTCCAAACAGAAATATTTAAAACTAGAAGGAGTGATATGTATATGATTCTATTTTCATCGCAATTTACCCACCTATTTGTCTCACTTTTTTATTGACAAGTTCCTCATTCGAATTTTCCACCTTCCTTTTCCCTAATCGAATAAAAAAGATGTGAGATAACGCGATATTCGGTATTATTGATAAAAAATGAAGCAATGAGTTTGTATAGCTGACTCACCAGCACTGGGTTGCTCTACGATAACGTAATGTATTTTTTTGGCAGGCTTTGACGATAAGAAGCAGGAAAGAGAAGCACAAGAATAAGTATTTGGTATTATTGGCGACTGTGCCAGGTTAGTATCGATCACTACTATAATAGGTGGACGTCTAATGGTAGCCGGATTCTAATCTGCTGGGTTACACGTGATTTCGAATACTAATTTTTGGTACTTTCATGAGTATTTAATAATTTTCAAATTTATTTTGTTAAACACATTATTTACACATATTTCAAATTGCCAGAATTTTATTAAAGCATAACATATATATAACCGATATTATAAATCAAATTTAAAATTTTCATATATTAAATTTGTTTTATACTGATAGGATGAATGTATATATTCAAATATAATTCAATTTTAAATTGATATAGACTCAGATATTTTAGGCAGTACTATATATGGTATTCTTTTTTATTTTACATTATTTACAATTTTTACAATACCTTGTATTATAAAATTTATTATTATAATACTTTTAAATATATTATAGATTTCTATATTTTTATCTGGAAATTTAAGAGTATAACTCCAAAAAATAGAATTGTATTCTTAAAATATGCTTTTAATACTTTATTAAATAAGATTTCAGATTCTTTGATAATTCTTTTCTTACTTTATACATTTGCTCTTTAAATACTAATAATTTTTTTTGCATATAAAGTAAATTTAACTAAAGTACCTGTTAGCTAAAAACTGGAAAAATTTACTTTTTTTGCAGCTGTAAAATTTGCACAGTAAAATTCAGTCATGTTTTTTATTAATACAGATGTCTGTAATTCTGTATGCTCTAATTACTACAAATTATACTTTACAATACTTTATATAAAAAAAGTGTTGTAAACTGATAGTTTTGAAAGTAAAAAACGAATAAGCATTTTTGTATGATGTGGTTAGTTATCAATTTTATTTAATAAAATAAAAACTACTTATGCATTTATTAATTTTTATTAATTATAATTTAATAATGTAAATTTAAAGTAGCAACTTTTATAGCTACTATAATTAGCATTAGATTGGCTTCAACTTTTTTCTATATATTGGTTCATTATAATGAACAAGTTAGATATTGAGGTATAAGTGAAGTGGACACAAGTAATAACTAACATGTACGAAATAAACCTTGAGAAGTATTTTATATATTGTTACACCTTTATAACCACTTATATGCTTCTCAAATATGTTTAAAGATTTCAAAGGTTAGCTTAATTAACCAAAATAATTAAAGGTTATATGTAAATCTCTATTTTCTCTTAAATTTTCTTTTTCGTTAATTAATATCTGCAATTAAAAATCATTGAATATTATGAAACATTTTGCAAGATTAAATAAGTTTGTTACTTGTACTCCCACTTTAAAAGACTCGGGCGACCTAAAAATCTTAATTCTGTTAGAATTAGGCTAATCGAGCATACAGTTTGTCGTACCAGGTACAATTTAATTTTTAAACCAGGCTCTTTCAAAGAACCTGAATAATAACTTTCATTATACAGTTCCTTTGTTACCTATTCTATAACGTAAATGTGCAGAAAAGAATTCTTTTGATCCAAATCTCAAACCGTTTTATAGGTGCTTGTTGTTTCACATCTAAAGATTTAGATTCGCTTAATATAAAGGTGAGACAATATATTTGAAATACAAATTATTCTTATTGGTTCGGAAATTAATTAGAAAAATGACATACACGGTGAAGTTACTTAATTATCCATTTATGGTATAAACGCACGAATATTAAATCTTGGTAAAGAAGTAGTGAGAGAAGCTGATTAAGGAAAAAAATAAAGCTTATTTGGGTATAAGTGAATATTTCAAATAATAATTGAAATAGCTAAATTACAATCAATTACAACAATGGATGATTTTATTTATAAACCACAACATATATATCGGTGTTTAGCTTCATCATATAAAAAACCTGGTAATTCCCTTTCGTTAAACATTAAATATGTGTCACAAAATTGTGTCAGAACACAAAGTGCTAATAGTAGGACTAAGACTTGATTTTTTAGTGTTACCAACTCTAAAAGAAATTTGTCCTACAAAACTCTCAAATTGGTAGGTACCAGGTCACAGTTATGAACATGTTTTTTTTGCAGAGTTGCAACAGGATATGATGATAGTACAACACGCAGTGCTAGTATAAAAGACTAATTTCCGTTTGTTATTAAGGAGGGAAATTTTTTTTTTTGAAATTTATTTATCGGTTATTAAGTTTAGTAAATTGGTAAATTTACGATTATACAGATGAGCGCGTATCAACTATCTTCACCCTCATCACCCACAACACCTACTACACCACAATCGCACTTCCAAAATCAGAATCTCATGTCCCTTCAGCCGCCTTCCACACAACCTGTTAAGATGAGTAGCAACACCTTTGTTCACAAGCTGTACAAGTAAGTTTAAATTTTAAAAACTAAAGCTGTTGCGACAAGGTAATTGGTTTGCAACAAGCTAATCGTGTTTTAATTACTGGTTTATTCTTTTTCCTTAATAAATATTAACAATACATATTTCCGATCTTTAAGTATGGTTGTTGACAAGCAATATCAACATCTTATCGCTTGGAATTATACCGGGTCCTCCTTTATAGTATGTAATATTATGGAATTTTCTCGCGACGTCTTACCAAAGCATTTTAAACACAATAATTTTTCTAGTTTTGTTCGTCAACTAAATATGTAAGTTAGTTACTAATTTATTTTTTTTTACTTGGGCTTAAAATATAATTTATTAATTTTATTATCGTTTTAATTTAGGTATGGTTTTCACAAAGTGAATAAATCACCTCGTGGACATCGTACACTAGCGGAAAATCAAATTTGGGAATTTTCTCACCCGAAGTTTTTGCGCGGTCGTCCGGATTTATTAGATGATATTAAAAGAAAAGCTATGGAATCAGAAACTTTACGACGAGAAACAGGGGATTTACATGCACATCTCGCTATGATGCAAGTTGCACAAAATGAATTAATTCAGCAAATTAGACAATTACAGGAAAATTTTGCCGAGGTTATGAGGGATTTGGCGGATACGAAACGAAAACAAAATTTGCAGCAACATTGGATGAAAGGAATGTGGGAATTTATGCAGAGTCAAGGGTCGACGGCAACACGTGAGTTTATGGTGTATGATATAGAGTGCCAATAATAAAATTATTTGAGGGAAATATATATTAATAATAAATTAATAATAATAATAAATTTATTTATTTAATTTTAAGTTCCATTTGAATTGAATTTTGATAATTTTGAAATCAAACCTGAACCTGAACGGCCACCGATATATATCACATCACCGGAGAATAACCATACCAATATGAGTTTTCTTCTAAACCAATTATCAACACAACAAGGAGTGCATCAGATGCCACAGCGTCCGTCGACGCCGTTGACGGTAAACACTAATATAGCAAGTCAATCATCTAGTCAAAACAGTCCACATGGGCAAAGCCCATTGAACATTCAGCTTCCTACGAGTCCCTTTTTGGGAAACTCAATATTATCTAGTACAGTGCCACCACTCTCTCCTAATTCATTTTCTTTTAACCAGGCTGTAAACACACCTTTACCACCAAGTCCTTCTCCGGGTTCACCAATGGCACATCTATCAGATGACGATATGGATGGCAGCAGTTCGCTTTATTGTACAAGTCCTGGTGGCAGTCATGCTGGATCAGAATATGGTGAAGAAATGTTTAATAATACAGTGTAGAGTCCCTTCTTAATCCCGTTTTTTTCCACGATTATTTTATTTACTTTATGGACTTATGGTATAGGTATGGATAACTTAACATGGTAAAGAGGGACTAAATATGGATCATTTCAATGTATGTTGTTATTCAGTCTTATTCATCTTTTCTTTATTTTAGAGGAAAAATTTTGATAGATTTTATTCCATCATAAAAAATCCTACAAAAAAAAGGTTTCATTGGCGGTTGGGTTTTTTTGTAGTATATATACATATACATATTTTATTATTATTATTATTATTATTATTATTATTTTATAACACGTTAGCCTGAACATTTTCGATTTCACCATTTATTATTGTTTTTATTATTCTATTCATTTTATTATTGTTGTTTGCAATTACGTGTATTATATGTACTTCCATGATTATTATACATATATATTATTTTTATATTTAAATAGTCAACCCACCCACGACATTTGAATTTTTTTTATATTTCGTTATTATTTTTTTTCTTTATTTTATTTTATTTTTTTCCCTTTATATATATTTTTAGGAACCATTATCGTATTGAATTACATTATTTGGAGTTATTGTTCTTTCATTTTGACCAATCTGAATCAAATATTCAAATATTTGAGTAAACAAGAATTTCCTCGATTCGATTTCGAAATATTTGACGGTAATACTGTTTCATAAGTTGAAATATTTCTTTTCTCAATATAATTAATATTATTACTGAGATCATAAAGTTTTAAAAAAAATTCCTATTATATGATATCCAATATCGATGTATTAGGATTTTCTCAGTGATCTTTTTACTTTCGAAAATTTAGAAATATTTTTTTTCTTTTAGTAACAAATTTTTTTTTTTTTGTATATTAAGAAGAAATTTTATTTATATATTATTAATTCTTAATCGATTTTTTTTTATATTCTCGATGATGTGAAAGTGTAAAATATACTAAATAATCTAAATAATCTAAATAATCTAAATATACAAATGAAAAAAATTACTTTTTTTTAAAGTACAAATGCAATAAAGATAATATATTTATATATTTTTATTATAATCTTATTTTGGACTAGTTGAAAAAATAGGAATAGTAGGAGAAGCAGGTCTAACAACAACTCGTTCAAGTTGCCCTATTGACTTTTCTTCAATTAATTCATATTCATATTCATATTCAGATTCAGATTCAGATCCGGATCCGGATCCGGATCCGGATTCATTTTTTTCAATTTCTTCAACGTCCCGTTTAGCATTATTATTAGTATTAAATTGAGTGTAAGCAACTAGATCATCAAATTGGTGTTGGTCCATGTGAGCAATCGCTGAAGTGATTGAATCTAATTCCGGTATTTCTTGTGCAAATCCAGAAACTGGACGAAATTTACGTGAATTATCATTAATTGGTACTAAATGTGTACTAGTATTACTTATTCGCTTTATATGAGGGGAATTATTATTAGCGTTGATATTATTAATAATATTATTATTATTAATTAATATAGTAGTTGATGATTCTCTTCTACAACTTTGTATTATCCTAATATGCAAAGAATAAGTTATTTTTCAATGTAAAATGATAATTTTAAGGAAAAAAAAGGACAATACCTTATACTTATCGTTGCTACAACGAACAAAATGCAAAGAGGATTAAAAAAAGCGTAGGTTACAAACATGACAATATTCAATGATTTAGAATGAGTAACCAACCATTTACGAAATATTGAAGCAGTAGTACAATATGTAAAATAATATAAATAAGTTAACATTATTATATATAAAGTGAATCTAATCTTTTTTAAACCTGATTGCATTCTTTCTACCCTTCCAACAGTAATATGATTACTTTCCTTTGCAACAGTAATATGATAACTTAATATATTACATAACTCTTTACCAAAATAGAATGATCCCATAGCACCAAATCCAAACCATAAACTCCATAATAAATATCTTATTGTTATTAATGTATCTGCTATTTTCGCATTATTTTTATCTCTAAAATATCCGCTTATAGCTGTGACTGGCCATACTGTCATAGGTACAATTATTGTCATTATTAAAAGATATCCATCAGATAATTTATTATTTGGACGCCACGGTCTTTGTTTCGAATTTAAATGATTCCCAATTTGTAAATATGTTCCAATAACAAACCACGCACAACCTAAGTTAAGGAGAGAAGTGTTAATATAGAAAAAAATTAAAAACAAAAGTAATAATTTGCAATAATAACCTGTTGAAGCACATGTCCAATACTAATAAAAGAATATAATAATTAATTAGTATTTTTTTTATAATTAAACTTTAAATTTTATGAATTTTTATGATAATAAATTAATTATATTCACCAATTCTTGAAATACTAATTTTAGAGAGAGAGATATAATGTATATTAGTATTGAATTTATTATTTTGTTTTTTTAATAATTATTTATACTTACTTTCTAATGCAAAATAATTGCCTTTCAATTTACCAGACCACAAAATAAGAATGAATGATATTCGACCTAGGGATTAAAAATACCAAATGAATATTGGCGCAGTGATCAATTATGAGGCGCAGTATCAAATTTTTACGCGTTCAATCTGCATACCAATCAACCATAGTATCGCCCAAACCAGAAATCCTTCAACAGGATTCGGTCTAATAAAACCAGTCCCAGGTACTTTAGGAGAGAATAAAGTACATCCTTGACGACTAATTCTAAACCAAAGTAAAATTATGCAAGTCATTGCGATAAAACCTGATAAAGAGAGATTTATTGTGTATAATAATTTATATAATTGGCCATCATCGCAAGATAATGTTACTCTCCAATCGCAATATGAATGATTACGATATAAGTAGACCATAGAATCTTCATTGGAGGGTTCAGTGGCCATTATTTATTATTCCCTTCTTAATTATATTATATATGTATATATATTTTTTAAAAAACATACGAAAGAATCTAATAATTATTATAAGTATAGAAAATATTTACATGTATATATGTGTGCGTGTGTGTGCATGTATACCGAAAAAAAGGAGGGGGGGGAATAATAAAAAGGGAAGAGAAATTTTAATGATATTTTATATATGTATTCGAATAAACCAAATGATTTAACTTACTTTATACATGATTTGCTTAAATTGTGTTCAATTGGATTAAGCATTTTAATTGGGGATTATATATTAATTTGAAACTATTTCGGAAAAGCATAGCTAAAAGCGGGACAAAATGATAGACATATCACGTGCATACGTACAATCAAACTAACTTGATCAAGCTTTATCCTTTACCCTTAACCCAATTCTGCTTTGATCGTTCAAATTTCGAATTAAATATAATTGCATGAGAAATGTTTTATTTCGGCTTATAATTCAAATTCTGAAACGTGCCCGGTGGAAAGAAAGAAATTTATATATAACAATAGATTAAATTTCTATATATGTCCCGTTTAGAAACTGAAACTGATTTATTCGAATGAATATTTTATTGTTTGTTAATTAAATAATTAATTAATTTAAAAAACAATAAAAATATTACTATTTTCTAAAGAAAGAATGACTTTTAAGCCAAATATTCTGAAATTCCGAAAATTAATTATTTGTCAGCAACAAGTTAATTGATTTTGTTTGTTTGTTGTATGTCAATGTTTATTGATTTACATCACAACGTGCTTAATTAGAACGAATTTTTTGAGAGAAATTTACGAAAGTTTAATTAAAAAGAAGCTTTGCAATTACGGTAATTATGTTTTCCGTAAATACTGTACAATATTTAAAATATTAAAAAAATGTTTCTTGAAACATATTACGCAGGGTGGCATGCATAGGGCCTATAATATTTTATTTACCAAATGATCTAATGAATATGATCTTACTCTATATAGCAAGCGAATTTTTGAAATAAAAGTTAATCAAATTTAAAATTTTTTTTCTCAATAAGAAAATTTTCATGAGATTTTTGAAGAGCCCTTTTGAAATTATTTCTCTCGTATCTCATTTTGATCCCTTGTCTTTCCAATATTTCGAATCTTAAATCTCTTAAGTCTAGATCCGTCGAATATAATAATTTTTAATTTTATTTATATTAATTATATTTATTTTTTATTCATCTATAATGATTACATTATTTACGCTAAAAAAATTCCTTAATTCCTTAATTTATTAAATGAAAAACTGTATTTTAATATTTTATGATTAATTTACGTACCTAACTCTACATGGTGTAACTAATGTTACACAAATGATCATATTTTTCATATTTTGGATCTGCAATCCTAAAATTTCCCCACGAAATATTTTAATTATGAATTCTAATCAGTATTTTTTAGTCTTTTTTTTCTTCTCTTGATATTTTCTATTTATCCGAATTTCTTAGAAATGAAATCACGAAAAAATTCTAAAAATTTACAAAATGTATTATTAACTCATGATGAAGTTGATTCTGAAAATTCTGATAAAATTACAATGATCTTTCCGAGTGCTCAACCTTGCACTATTGAACCTTTTGAACCACCACCGGGAAAAATTATAAGATCTAGAAGAAATACTTTTACTTATGGTCAAGTTGGTGAAGGGAGCACTTCTCATTCCTCTACAATATATGATAGTGGTATTGATAGTCATAATGAACTTGTCCCTTACTCTAAAGAGTGGACGGTCATTCTGTGTGTTTGTTTTTTAAATTAAATAAAGTTAATAAATGTTTTTATTTCGTATGTATTTATATATATATATATATTTTTTCAAATAAATACGTAAATTTTTAGGCGTAATGAAAACGCTGGTCAATTAGTCCTTTATAATACTACTAACCGACGCGTTTCGGTTAGACGTTTACCACCAAGAAATGATCCGTTATCATCCCAGTCTCAGGTTTAATTCTTTAAGTTTGAATGTGTTTGGTTTCAACTTTACATTTAATTAATCTTAAAATAAAAATTAAGGTGTTGACTACATCACCTGCGTGTTTTATATGCGGAAGACCTTATGAAACAGCTAATCATATGTCTAGCGTATGTTTAAATTTATTTAGTTTATATATATGTACATAGATGTTGAACTTAAATAATATTATTAATTTTTTAATGTAATATTAAAAGACTTTAAATCCAGATTTTATGCATAGAAATTATTTTCGTTTATTAGGGAATTCTGAAAGGTTTGTTTTATAACTGTTAATTTTGTATTTTCAATTAAATGTATTGAATTTAAATTTTCATTGTTTAATTCAAGCATTCAACCCGAAGTATCACCTATAATTGTGCAATCCACATTTTCTACGCACACTGTTTCATCACACTCCTTTGCAGAATCTTCAACAACAACAACATCATCATCATCCATAAATTCAGATTTTGAAACACATTCTAACCTTTCACAAAATTCATTTAATCAAGGATATTATGAGAGATTTTTTATTGAAGAAAAAAAACTGGGACGAGGATTTCGTGGATCTGTTTATCTCTGTAAGGTATGTTGCAAATATTAATTGGACTTTCTATAAAATATTGTTCCGATTATTTTTTTAAAAAAAAACAAAAAAAAATATTCAATAGCATATTCTGGATAACGTACATTTGGGAGAATATGCTATTAAGAAAGTTGCCGTTGGTGATAATCATTCATGGTTGGTTAGGATGTTAAGAGAAGTTCATTTATTAGAAAAGTTACATCATCCAAATATTGTGGATTATAAGCATGCTTGGTTAGAATATCATCAATTAACAAATTTTGGTCCACAAGTTCCATGTTTATTTATTTTAATGGAATGCGCTAATGGAGGAAATTTAGAAGAATATATTAAAGAGCAATCATCAACACAACATGATTCAGAGGAAGTAAATTTAAGCGCAAAAGAACGTTTATTGCGTACAAGAAGAATGAGACAAGCACATGAACAATCAACAACAAATCCTAATAATGTACCAAAAAAACGTTATTTAGAATTGCCAGAGATTTGGTCGTTGTTTATAGATATTTGTGAAGGTTTGGCTCACTTACATCGACACGGTATTGTGCATAGGGATTTAAAACCTTCAAATTTGCTATTACAATATGACGAGGAGGAAAATAGTATGTTAGTATTTTAATATATTAATATATAGATTAATTACCATTCATTTTTTTCAGCATTTAGTAAATTTGTAAATTGATTATTTTAGACCAAGAGTTTTGATATCAGATTTTGGAGAATGTGAAATATTAGATCAACTTTCAGAACGTGATCGAACTGGCGCAACTGGAACTCTTGAGTTTATGGCACCTGAATTATTAACTGGTAATTTATTTACTATATAAATACTATTTTTTTTTTATAATTAATTTACTTTACTTATTTTACTTAAAATTTTTTAATAGTTGATGAGAATGGAAAATATTATAAAGATTATTCTCAAAAATCTGATATGTGGTCTTTGGGAATGGTTCTTTATTATCTTTGTTATTCAAGACTTCCTTATTATCAAGTGGATGATGTTGATTTATTGAAACAAGAAATTTTACATTTCAAAAGGTTAGTTACTCACGAAATATTATTTATAGTGTACCCATCACTATTTTAACAATGGAAAAAAATTTTTTTTCTTTTATTTAGTGTGTCGTTTCCGGAAAATAACAATTTTTTTACAAGTTCTTCACGTAAAATTCCTCAACAACTTAGAAATTTGATTAAACGATTGTTATCATGGAATAAAAAAAGTAGACCTTCTTGTGATGAGATATTGAAATCAGTTGAAGATATTAGGCCGACTTTTGCAAAAAACGTTTATAATGAAACTCCAGGTGTATGTATAATTAATTAACTATCATGCAATTTAATCGAAATTTTTTGTGATTTTACCATTTTCTAACAATTTTAAATTATTTCTAGAAACTATCATTTATTACACCATAATTCTATTACGAAGAATGAAAATCTTATCTTGTTTATATCCATTAATATGATACGATAGTCTCATTACCAAATGAAGAATATGTGACAAGTTCATCATCAGCTCCAATTTCAACCAACAATTCTACTACTACCACAAGAATGACATCTAGTAAAGTCGGTTTAAATACACATCACATAATATCAGAATCTGTTATATCGTCAGACGTTTCTTCTTCCGAATCTATCGAATCTATCGGAAATAATGATGAAACAACAAATTTACGTAAACGTAAGAAAGTTGCTGAAAAAGTTCATATCGCTCGAGAGAGCGAAGGTTCTTCAACATCTGGTATTGAAGATGTTGAACAGATTTCATCAATATTTAAGGTGGAAAAAGAAGTTACCTTGTTGTTTGTAACATATTTGTCAATTAATGGTTAATTTATTAATTTTGAAATTATTTGTTGTTCTTTAAAGAATGGGCAAATCCACGATAATCAAGCAGCAATTGTTCGTGCAATACCTCCCAGAGATTCATTATATCACGTTACATACTATTTGGAATTAATATCTTCTCGAATATTTGAAGGTGGATGGTGGAAATTTCTAAAGCTTATTATAGTTATAATAAAGGTATTTACTTGTAATGAATCTTTATTTTGATATTTCACAATTTACTAACGAGAACTTGAACTCTGATCCCATTTTATAATTATAGATTGCAACCTGCGTGACACCTTGTTCACCTTATTCACCTACACCTTGGGTATTATATCCAGTTATTATTTTTGCAATTATAGACCTTTACACGTAAGTATTTTATAATAATAATAATGTTATTTATTTATTATATGACTAACCATTATAATTTATTTAAATAGTAAGCGAGTAACTTTTAGCTTTGCCTTATTTTTACTTCATGTTACTTGGATCAGTATTTTTAAAATTGGAGGAAATTTGTGCAAAGTAGGATCAAAGGGCTTTTAGAATAATCAATATAATTTAATTCAATAAAAAAAAATGGAAATTTTGATTAATAATATTATTTTAAGGAACGCTACATAAGATTATGTAAACATTAGTAGTAATTTTTATACTCATTTTTGTTGTAAAATTTTGAATATTATAACTAATTTTAATAATTAAAAGCGATAAATGATTTAATCTAATGGAGACTATTGTGTTATGAGTTATTAATATGAATATAAGAGAATTTTATGATGGATGACGGGTTAATTACAAATCAAATTACTCCTGATTTTAAAAAAATTGCTGGACTTGTTATCAACTCTTTTAAGATCCGTACTGTTTATTTATAATGTAGACTAAGCAGGGAGAAAATTTTTTATCATGCAATTATCATTCGAAATTATACAACTCTTACAGCATTTTTGGCAAAATAATTCATAAACCATGGCTACTAAGTACACCTCCAAAAGCAGATAAGATCTCATAAGCCTTAATTGAATAATTAGCATGTCCAGTACTTTCTTTACTAACAACTTGGAGAAAATATTGCCGATTCTTTTAACAGAATCGATATTGATTGTCTATCGTCAAAGTTATTATCATCATTTTTTGATCATATATAATTTGCAATCCAGAGCGTTCTTGGACACTAATACAACTCACAAATAAACTTAAATACTGAAGTAAAAATACATTTTATGGCATAACTCTGTCAATATTGAAGCTAGAAATGCGATTTTACTATCATTAGAATCCTCTCATCGAATCACTAGTTGTGTTAAAAACATGGGTATGTAGGATAACGAAATTTTGAAAATACCCCTGTAATACGCAACTTTTGAAAAATTTTAATATAAACTCTAAGCAAACTTCAAATGTAAGTTGTGTTTACAATTATTTCATATGTCTTCGCATATTGATTCTACCTGTAATAATATTAATTTATTTTTGTCTCCTTTTTTGATATGTTCATTTTTTAAAATTTTATTAGGATATTCCCGTATACATATTCCTGAATTATTTCTAGTGAATAATTCTCCTGTTAATTTGCCTACAAATGCTTTGGTATCTTCTCACCTACCCAATGTCCTTTCTAATCCTGATTTAGACTTACGCATTGGACTGGAAGTCTGGAACATCATATTTATCTATATGCCAAAAGGAAATTTAACTCTACACATGATGATATGATTGTCTGTGGATGGCTTCAAAGGGATGATGACCTTATCCTTGCCTCTGGTGTACTTTCGTGGATTAATTGTCCGCTTTCCACGCAAGCTTCTGAACTAGGCCTTATTCTTCACAGTTTACATTCTTCGTCTTCTGCCTTGTAATAATTCTATTACATTTTACACCAAGCATCAATACATCCCTTTTTCAAACTTTTGCTACTCCTCTCCTGAATGACATGTTCGGTCTCCCTTATACATCCTTTGGATGGCCATTTATTGCTGCACCTCCAACTCCAGTCTCAACTGCACCTTTTTACAAATTACGGATGTCTCTAATGATGAATATTTCTCCTGTTGTTCTTCGCTTACGGATTCCCTCAATGTTCCCTTGTTTCCTTTTGAACCTTTGTTTGATATTCCCACTCCCTCCCATGGATTACTTGTCGCCTTTTTATGCAACGATGTTCCTCTCATTAATGATCCAGTCGCCTATTGGCATACTATCTCGGACATGAAAGTCTTCTTTGAATTATTAAGTTTTTTTAGATTCACTCCATTGCGGTCCTCTTACTTTGTAATTGATTGGACTCTTACTTTTGGCCTTCTCAAAGACACTCTGTACCATTGTTTAGATATTTCACATATTTCTGCCTCTTTTCGATTCCAGCTCCAGCTCTGGTTTGATGAACTTCTCTTGATGTTTCGCTTACGACATCGTTACCTGGATTTATATGCGGATGACTCTTTGTGTCCAAATTGCGGTATCTTTATGGAAACCCTTGAACATTTCTTTACATGCTTCCCGGATGCCGACTCCAGTCTGATCGATAATAATTCTCCTTCATTGCCTTCTCAACGCATTTTATTGGAACTAATGGATCGATTTTTAAATCGCCTTGCTCAAAAAGCTTCATCTTCTCCTAAAGCCCGACAAGACTTGGATTCTCTCCTTTTCCAATTAAAAGCTCTTCCTTCTGTTGGCTTTTCGTCTCTTCAAACATACTCTGAGTCCTCTTCATTTACTGGACTTTAGTTTCTCCAAGGTTTTATTCCACGTGATCTTTCTTCCTTAATTACTTCTAACTCCAAACTACCTCAGCGTTCTGCCTGCAATATTATTTCAAGAAATTTTCTTAAATTACAACGTGAAATTTATCACCAACTTTGGCGTTCAAGATGTAAGATAAAATCCCTTAAAGATAAGGTGTTGGATATCACGCCCGCTCTTCTTCGCATGACCAGAAGTTCTGATTTTACCACACTGGTCGAAATAGTCCAAATCGGCTAGAAATCGGATTTCTGATTTTAGGCTGAATTTGGTGATAAATATGGCCGATTTATTAATTTAGGCAAAGTTCTGATTGGCAGGCCGATCGATGCCGATCAGAATGTCTGAATTGTATCTGAATTGCTTAGTATTTTTAATCCGAATTGTTTAAAAAATATTATTCATAAATTTACCGAATTGCAGTGAATTTATTCTGAATTATGGTAAATTTGTGACAAAATTTTCTGAATTGTAGTAAAATTTATTCCAAATT